ATAGAAATTAGACTTGAAGTAATGTCCCATAGATAGACGTCCATTGAACGCTGTGCAAAACACTCACCAAAATATCAGTGACGGTTGTTATAAATATCAGTGACTGTTGTTATTAATGACACATTTCCTTCAGGTCACGGCGTCTCACAATACGTTTACCTGTTACATTGGGATATATACAGGCCTTAGAAAAGGCATAGTGTTCAGGGTTCTACTGTATTATGTCTTCCTACCATCATGGCTATACGGGGTGGCGGGGCAGCCTAGAGGTTAAAGCGTTCACTCGTCTTGCTGAATACACGGGTCCTCATGTATACGATGTGTGAAGCTCATTTCTGGTGTCCCCCCGCCGCAATATTGCTGGAATATTGCTAATGTGGCATAAAACCAAACACACTCACTCACTTCATTGTATGCTGGATATTATATTTCACATCTTGATATTGGTGATAAGCAAGATTAGGCATTACAACTCGGATGACAGTCTGTTATAAAACAAAATGTATGTTTTTGTGTATTAGTTTTAGTACTAAGCTTTAAATGTGATTGTGAATTACATTTTGGTAAAATTTATGCAAGTGTCGTCCCTTGTGATCCTGGCTGCCTCTGTTGTTATCTCTGTCAGTTCTTGTTATGGTAAACTAGAAGTGGTCTGAAGGAACCTTTGGGAAGACAGGAGTGTGGTTGATCATTCACCTCTTATCAGCTAACAACCACATCATACTGCCCTGAAATAAATGGTGAATTAACCTGTCAGTTTGCGGCATTAATGGTTTAAACCAGCTGCAGCCTTTACAAGCTTTACAATCTCATCCAGTTAACAAAATAATATTTTAACAAGTCGACTGATTTAGTGAGTGAAAACTAGTTGTATGAGGACATATTAATTTGTAGAATAGCTTTACTCTCATTTCTATTGTGCGATCTGCGCTCTGAGCTGAGTATATTTCTGTGTTTGTGAACTTTAACTACTAGAATGTTTCAGATTCTAACAATACACATTTCTTTCTCTCATGACACCATTCCTAACTTGAATGTAAGATGGTAGCACATGATGGAATACAACTCAACACTTCAATACCTGTCAGCTCTCAATGGTTTGGCATGGGGCCTACATTTTCATCACAGATCATGCTTTCAAAATCTCTATTGATAGAAAATCTCGGATATTGATAGAAAAATATTTGTAAGTTCCTTTTGTTCGCAAAACAGCACAAACAAATCAATGGCAACCCGCTCACACTTGCTAACTTGCTAGAGAACTAAAATAGATCAGATAAGCTTCCAATGAAAAATACAAAACATAATTGTACATATATATCTTCCCTGGTACTCAATTCTATGTTATTATTTGCCACATAGGTCTGTTAAAACAATTATACAATACATTTTCAAGAAGGGGCTTCCTAAATGATGCTGCAGCTGAAGAAAATCGTTTTGGGGGGGTCCATACCCTTTGAAACATTTTGGTTGGGAGTGTGCTCTTTCCATGAAGGAGCTGTAACCCATCACCAAAGGAATAACACCATCCTCCAGGGGATTTAGTAAATCTGGGCTCAAACTTAACCCTGTAAGTCAAGTGCTTCTTGTGAGATCAATCAGGATTGTGATTCAATCACTTTAGTGGCATGCCCCACAGACCACGGGACTAATTTCTAACACTGACATAATTATACTGATTGATGACCTCATGATTCAGATGTGATAGAAACAAACCTAATGACCCTGGGACCACTCCGAATGTCTAGTGACCAACATTGCGCTGGTTAATGAGCCATGATGCACTTGATGCGAGAATATTTCAGCGAATCCTCACAGCCCATGAAAGATTTGACTATTACAGGATGGATAAAATCATAGTTCTGAATTCACTTGTAGCTGTCTAAAACTTTATGATAATCTTCTTGAAAGGGCAACAATATTTTGTGTGCTTTGTAATATTTTGTCGTGCTATTGCTGACAGCCATGTTTACCTGGCATAAAAGCCGTTTTGTAACGTGAACATGTGAGCTGTATTTTGTTTGCCCTGTGGATGCATTTCATGGTCATTTACAGAACTAGGTACTATTTTGTGATTGCATAATGAAATCGTTGGTAATGTAATGCATGTTTTAGTTATTGCTAAATTCTGAAAGATGGCAAAATCTGTACTTACTGTAAATCCTGTAATAGGGCCAAGAGTTCCCCTTTCCTTAAAATGGTACATAAGTTAAATTTGTATTTAGAAATTGTTCAATAACCATTTATTAGAGCAGAGTGCAAATAGAGCAAAGAAAACAGGTTTGAAAACCAATGGCTTTTATAAATTGAGCTCTCTTTTTTAACACTTGGTATACAGATGTTTAAAAAAATGTCATTGGGTTGGTGATTGAAAGAAAGAACAAAAATGAATCTGTGGAAACATGTCTTTTTTACACTGTTTTCTTGGAAGATAAATAATCAGGGTAATTGCTGAAAAAATGAAATGGCAGAGAAATGGGTGTTTGAATGGTCAGTTTCCTTCCCCTATCAACCTGCTGAAATTAGATTTAGCAAGGAAGAAACATGTGTCATTGGATCTCAAGCAATTTGAAATGAATGTCTGATAGTTCATGCGTCATTGGTGTAAGTTATTTTGGCCACTGAGGACAAGCCCCTGTGTGCCTGTAGTCCACTGATCCTGCCCTATACCCCAGGGAGAACACTAGTCTCTCATACTGACCCAGAAACAAATATACCCAATGCAGCCCATGCAAGTCTAGAATATGTGGCAAGTCTAGATTTCCACAGTTTCTAAAAAGGAAGGAAGTCTCAGGGCTCCTTTTCATTATATTATTTATATTGATATTATATTATTATATTATATCCTTTTATTATGAACTGTTGTTTTCTGTAAAACATGTTCATTTCAGAGACTAGTTGTTAGTGTAGAACATCGAGGTATACCAGTGTATGTTGGAGTGCTAAAACTAGGCTGACCTCATGTGACAAATCAATCTCATGTACAGCCTATCAATATATTGCCGCAGTCAGCAATATTCCATCCATAACATGTCAGCTTGAAAATAATCATGTCAGACCTTGGCAAAACAGTGACTGCAGACTGAGTATCTGTCCACACCACATGAGCAACTGTTCCACCACATGATATTATCGACATTGCATGAGTAACTATTGACACCACAGCTGTCAACCGCTGCTTTGTGTTGTCAACACTTCATTATATTGTGTATACTGATCTATGGAAATCAGTGTTAGAACTGGTCTTCAGCAATCATTACTTCTCCTAAATGGCGACTTAAGGGATTAGATGGTGACTCTGCGACCTGGTTGATGTATGTCATTATCTCAGTTGTGCAGATAGAGACACATGTTGATCACTGGATGTTTTGGTCCAGACTTGGGTATTTTCTGTCATTCAGCTTGACTACAATGCAAAATGCTGCATTTGACAAATAAACTGACAAATCAAGTTTGCACATTAGAATGGGACTGATGGTTTAAAGACGATTGGCCATCATGGAAGCAGAAGCTCTAATGTTGACTCTCACTGGCATATATCTCTTCAATGTTGTTATTTGGTAAAACAGAAAAAAATACCTTCATGCGTGATGGGGGCAGGTTTCGCTTGTCCTTCGTGTAATCTGCCATACCGGAACCTGTCCTGCCTACACTTCAAATGTGACTACACTACGTACTCATATTCATCTAATATTCACAACAGGGAGCCCTGGCATCATTATACAAGACAATGAATATTCATTTAATTGTATTTTTTGTATTCTCACATCGTTCGTAATAGGCAAGGACATACTTACTCTTTTCACTTACACTTGCAGACATCACTGATTTTCAGTTATCAAGTCATATGATTTTCACAGCTATTTTGTCCTTCACTCCAAATGAATCTAAGGCCAAATAAAAAAAATGTTGTGGTTCTCTTTAAAATTTAGGGAGGGTAGGTAGGAAGGTATGAATATTTATTTATTTATTTTTACATTTTTTTAAGAAGTAAAGTACAAACTAATAACATTTATCAATGTGTAATTGTTTATTCAATCAAGCTTGCTGCCTTCATTGTGTCTCTCTCTATCAGCATGAGCAATGTCCGTCCGGGGTTGGGGGAGTGGGGGTTGGGTGTGTTCAGGGGTCGGTCAGGTAATCTGAACCACAACATTTTGTTTTTAGGTCTTAACTGTGAGGAGAGCCAAAAATGGGTATACTTTTGTACTGACGTTTTCTATTTCCAACACAAGTTGACAAATTGAATATTACTGACACGTGCTCAAACCAGTTCACCCATATATTTGTGAAGTCATTGTTTATGCTGGAGATATTCTTGTCATGTGTTCATGGAAGCCTTTCTCAAAATAGCATCATATGCAGGCTTATTCAGACATGTATTCAGATCACTGTTGTCGCATACCAAAGTTTGACTTGATACAAGGGGCAAGGATTTAGCATTCTTTAAGAAAGCACACATCACACATGTAGTCTCACCCAAGGCAAGTGAGTTTGTTCTTGAATTGCCCCTGTTCTTGCAGCAGTGAATGGGTACCCGGGGGATAAGTCATATGACTATTAACCTTCTAGTGTCTCACAGGCAGCTTGGGTTATCTTGGGTAATAATGTGTTAGCTCTTTGAGCATGCACAAGTGCGTAGAAACAGTGCTTTGTAAATAGCCATTATCATTAAAACAAATGATTAAAGATTGAATTTCTAGCAGACCTTCTGTATGAGAAAAATAGTGAGCTTGTTGAAGGCAACCTTCAACAGACCATTTCTTTCATGGACATTTAGAGAGGATGAAGAATGATGATTATTTTATGGATTTCAACTTCCTTAATCATTATTGAATAAGGAAGTTGTATATCCATCAAATTATCATCATTCTTCATGAACAGACCATTTATGCCTAGGAATACACTGTCACAAATGACATTAAAATGTGTGTATTATGTGTGTATTAATTCCAGAAATGAACCGCCTGCATTTAGCGCCAACATCTATATACTTGCAGGGAAGCAGTGACACTTCTCCTTCAAAATGAGGCTCTGGTCAATTCCACTGATGAACGAGGATGCACACCCCTGCATTTAGCGTCATGGAGTGGACGGTCCGACATCTGCACCTTGCTTCTGCAACCCTCTTCAATACCTGCTCAGATCAACGCACAAGTAAGTATAGGGACACTGTGTATACCTGTTCCCAGCAACACACAAGTAAGTATAGGCACACAACTCATACCTGCTCCTATCAACACACAACTCATACCTGCTCCTATCAACACACAACTCATACCTGCTCCTATCAACACACACACCTCATAGTCCTAAGTCATAGGCACACAACTCATACCTGCTCCTATCATCAACATACCTGCTCCTATCAACACACAACTCATACCTGCTCCTATCAACACACACAACTCACATCAACTCATACCTGCCTGCCTATCAACACACAACTCATACCTGCTCCTATCAACACACAACTCATACCTGCTCCTATCAACACACAACTCATACCTGCTCCTATCAACACACAACTCATACCTGCTCCTATCAACACACAACTCATACCTGCTCCTATCAACACACAACTCATACCTGCTCCTATCAACACACAACTCATACCTGCTCAGATCACAAGTATAGTGTTGAAACCACACAACTCATACCTGCTCAGATCACAAGATAGTGTTGACCAACCCAGAAACCAGATATTTCCAGTAAACTAGGATTTGTACCCACTATCGCAGGCGTTCCCACGGGAATTCACCAGTGTTACCATGCAGTACGGTGCTGTAGACGACTGGGCCACCTGTGCCCCCAGACAAACAGAAGGGCTTATGCATTTACAGTAGTTTTTTTTCAATATTTGAGTCATATTTATGATTTTTGCCATTTCAGCCCTGGTCGAAGATTGGAAGTTATTGGTATGCTCAGTTTCTTCATGGGTGGCAGATTTAACTGCTCGGTTTTACTGATGTTTTAGGCTTATATATGGGTGTGTTTTAAATATGTCCTTGAAACCTAACCATTATCACTTACATTGTTTGAAATATTGACATTAAACAACATGAACATATGTCTTTATGAGAGAATATATTGATATTTTTCGTTACTTCCCATGGCAACATGTTTATGATCTTCAGCATTCAGAGTTATGGTTCTTGACCGGTTATTTTCTCAGTGCCTAGTGTATTTTGTGTTTAGTTATTTCACATTTAATAACTTTTTCAGAAGACATAAAGCGTTTTTATTCTTACATTTTTAAAGGACTATTGTTAATAACATTTACCTCCATGTTGTTCATTGCTCTGTCCACAAAATAAGTCTCATAATATTTTTTTCTGAAGACAAAGTGTTTTTATTATTACTGTTTTTAAAGGACTATTGTTGTTTAACATTTACCCCCATGTTTCTCATTACTCTCTCCCCAGATTACAGCTCATGTGCCCCATGGCAATGGATAGTGGCAATGCTATTTTCTTGTTTTTCTATGATATGATAATTTTTAATTGATTACATTAACGAGAGAGGTTTTCTTCTAATGCTCTACTGCTTACAGACAGATAGACAGACAGACTGACAATTTATTTGAAGTATTCAAGGCCATGGCCCTTATTACAAAAGGGTTTTAACAAGTGTATTCATGCTGGTCTAATACCAGTACTGCTTACTAATTAGTGGGGCAGTTAAGGCCAGGATTTTGTCCAAATTGTGCACTTTGGGTTAAGAGCATCAAACTTGGCACACTGATACATTGAACAATTCTAAACATTTCTGGATATGGATCCACCTCAGTAGTGCCCCCTGGTGGCCGAAAATCCAAGATGGCCACCAGTTTGACTGAAATCTCTAACTATGTCAGCCCATGCTCAACATATCATAATTATCTTGTCATATTCAGTATTTTATTAAGGAATTGTCTTCATAGTGCTGTATGTAATTAACATCTAGCATGTAGCTCCCCTGGTGATGACAAATTCCAAGATGGCCACCAATTTAGATTTCTATAGATCCAGGTCTTCTACCTGTATGCAAATGCTAAAACAATCCAGTGGAATTTTCCGGAATCATATGGTGATGCCAGTTTCCTTATATCAGGTTTGGTGGATTGGGTATTGAAATAGCTGTGTCCAGGATCCTCGGATTTGATGGACAACTGCAATTTGCGTAGCTGGGTTTGCTGATTCCTTCGTACCCACCTTGCTAGAACAAGACATATCCATCAGATCACATCCGCTACACTCTTCCTACTACAACAGGCATATGCTCACTATCAGGAAACAGAACCAAACAAAGAAGACCTTTTGACTTTTAAAAGTTGGTGTGATGCAAAGTCAGCTTCTCAATCCTAGTTTCAGTATTGGTCCTTTATTCCTGAACTTGAACTTTGCATATTGTGCCTGGTGGTGCAATTCGAAAAGCAGATTTTCCCAAAGTATGTAGCATCACTTGTCAGAGTAATACCATGGGTCTTTATGTTAGATCATGTCATCTATGCACGTTCGCTTTCAGTTCACATCAGAAACATGTCTTCCTTATCAATGGAACACTCAGCACTGTACCACACATTTTGTTCAGGTGGATTTGTAGAACGTAAAACTAAATGACCATTCCCTGCCATGGTACTAGATCAGGCTCATGAAGAAGTCAATGCTCTTGTGAAAGGAGATGGAGGGGCAGTTGGACTGACAGAAAACCCATCAGGATGGGTGGTTGCAGGACCAGAAACGAGAGTTGACAGATTAAAACCATTGACAGATTAAAACCAATAAATGAACCAATAAGAAAGAACAAGCTGCCACTGTTTTTAAGACTGAAGACTCTTCGTCTTCCTATCTCATTGTGCATCACTTGAGGGTAACTGTGCATATCGTCAGGTTGTACATATCATGTCTACCAAGAGAAGGGGACTTTCTTCGAGCATGAAAATCAACCATGGCCTCCTTTATTGTCCAAGATGGGAGCAATTAGATCTCGGACAGACCTTCTTGAACAACTTGAACATATACAGGCGGAGCCACCAGATGCTACTCCAGAAGTTTCTTCAGTGATACTTGATGGCCCCATGATTGTGCAGATGCTTCATCCCAGAACATCCATAATGTTTCAAGTCGATATCCAGAATGTATTTCTGCCATACATGTTCCAGTATCTTGAACACCAGGACAGACTGGATATTCTTTGGGACACCTAAACGCACAGCCTTAAAGCATTCACCATAGAAAAAGGTGGCAGGGGTCTAAGAAGAATCACTTGTGCGAAGTAACTGAAAAAGCTTCTTCTCATTTAATGAGAACAAAGATGAGCTTTTTTGCACTGCATGCTGAACAGGTTTCTTCAACATAATTTGAAGGAAAACAAATTTACAGCACCCTTGAGACAAGAGTTGTACCCTCTCCTGAAACAGCTGACAGAAGAGTTCATGAAGAAGCCCACACTCGTTTTGTATTGCAATATCTGCTGCTTCACGTGGTGCGCTAAAAAGGTGCTGATTAGTACTGCTTACACAGACGTTGTTGTCATGACGATAGCAAACATTCAACAGATACCTTCAGAGTATGGATATCATTTAGCCTAGGCAAGCACAAAGGAAATATAGCTGCACATTAAATTGGAACTACCCTCTTTCCATCAAAATAAAAGGCATTGTCAGTATTGCATGCCTTCACCAATTGCGCTGTAATTTCATTTCTTTGGGCCGGGATCGTGAAGAAAACTGCTTGGGATACTTGGAATGTATATCCTGAAGTCACCAAGCCTTCCTGTCACTGGCAGATGCCCCAGCAGATACCTGTATTGTATTTTATCTGACAACGCAATGCTATTCCTTGAGCTGTTTGTCATTCTTTTATATGACAGAACTAGTGTGACTTGGAACGTCAGTCAGACAAAAGCCAGACAGACACAGGCAACCCTAAAACAACACACATTACAGGAAGGTCAGGTGCATCTCTGCCACGTCCTGCAGACTGGGGTTGGAAGTTGGCATGTGATAAAACATGGATACCATAGTGGACAACGCTAGGTCAGGCACAAGAACAGTGTTATGAACTGACAAACTGCACCTGTATGAAGTCTTGCACAGGCCTTTGTAAATGTTACAAAGCTGGTCCAAAGTGCACTGCTTTGTGCAGTTGTGAAGGAAAGTGTTTCCAGTGAGTGAGTTTAGTTTTACGCCGCACTCAGCAATATTCCAGCTATATGGCGGCGGTTTGTAAATAATCAAGTCTGGACCAGACAATCCAGTGATCAACAGCGTGAGCATCGGTCATGTATTATATTCTTCTGATGAAATTTACGCAATCACAGAGAAATAGTTTCTTTTCTTACAATCTTGAAAGTACGTTTTAAATAACAACCTTACTTTGTTTAAGATATGGCCAGGAATATCAGTACAATACATCTTTCTACAGTTTCAATATTCATGATCAGTCACTCGAAACAGACCCATGAAGGTCCGAGTTAGAATATTGATCTTCAGTAACCCATGCTTGTCGTAAGAGGCGACTAACGGGATATGGTGGTCAGGCTAGCTGACTTGGTTGACACATGTCATCGGTTCCCAATTGCACAGTTCGATGCTCATGCTGTTGATCACTGGATTGTCTGATCCAGACTCGATTATTTACAGACCGCCGCCATGTAGCTGGAATATTGCTGAGTGTGGGGTAGAACTAAACTCACTCACTCACTAATAATACAACAGAATCGTTTACTTGTCTGCATTAAATTGTTCTCTGAAACTTTGCATTTGTAAAATACTATCCGGAATACTTCTTACATTATAAAGCATAATACCAACAGATCATACACAAGAGTGCACAAATATATATTCATTTGTTCCTATTTAAAATGTCTATTTCACAATAATAAATGTTTCTAAATATCATCAACTTATCCAAAACCAAAGGTAATAACTTACAAATAACAGCAGTATAACAAGGCAATTTCTGAATATTTTAGTGGCCATCTTGGATTTTCATCACCACCAGGTGGCGCTGTGTAATAAATTGGGAATATGTACCTCACTGTTCCAATTTATCCTCTATGAAATACGAAATTTGACAAGATAATTATGATATATTGAACATCAATTGCATTTTAGTCGAAATGGTGGCCATCTTGGATTTTATGCCACCAGGGGGCACTGCTGAGGTGGATCCACATCCAGAAATGTTCGGAATAGTTCAATATATAAGTGTGCCAGGTTTGGTGCTTTTAACCCAAAGTGCACAATTATTGCCTTAACTGCCCCACTAAATGTAAATATTTTATGGTCAAGGACAAAGATCTGTTCCTTTCATGTAGATTGTTTTATGTTTTACTGTATTTCAATTCATATACAGCTGAAGTTCTGGTGTGGTGGATTATTGTTTTTACATTATGAATGTAATATATGAAATAGCCATGCCTGACCAGGTTAGAGGAGGTCCAGGGCAACCTGCACTGGGTTGAACAGGGGACCCAATGAATTGGGTCAGTCAGGCCCATAACATCACATCCTAACAGCATTGTTTGTTACAATATCCATTACTGAATTTGTCTTGTCCAGATTTGTTAATCTACAGGCTGACTCCATACAGCTGTAGATTTGTGATAAACATCTAACATAAATACTAATACTGAAAAATTGTCCTTTTCTATAAACCTTTGTGAAGTATCAGATTTGAGAATTTCATATTTACAAGAAGTAAATACATGACACGTTTTTATGGATAACAAGCTCCCTTTTTATTCTTTATACAACGTTTCGACCCATGAAGATCTGGGTTAGAATTGATCTTCAGTAACCCATGCTTGCCCGTAAGAGGCGAGTAACGGGACCGGGTGGTCAGACTTGCAGATTTGGTTGACACATGTCATCGTATCCCAATTGCGTAGATCAATGTTCATGCTGTTGTTCACTGGATTGTCTGGTCAAGACTTGATTACTTACAGACCGCGTCCGTTTAGCTGGAATATTGCAGAGTGTGGCGTAAAACTAAACTCACTCACTTATACAACTTTCAGAGCTAATTTATGTATTCTCATGAAGTTAAATTTTGTATAATTTCAGAACAGTGATGGTGAGACACCACTTCATTGTGCTGCTCAACATGGCCACTGCATAACTGTCTCGGTCCTCCTCCAGGTAGGTCAGAGTTATGTCCCTTAGTTAAAGGTTGTCTGGCATCAGTAGTAGTAGTGGGGTGAACTTAGTTTTCTGGAGAGACATTACCCTTAATTTGCCAGTGAAAGACTCCATTGCTTCTGATTAAATAAACCTCTGAATTCTAGATGGTTTAGAAGGTAATTTTGTCAAAATCAACCTTTGAATCATGGTAAATAAATTGTGCCATCCAGAGTCTTGAACTTGTGTTCTTACAGCTATATATATGATCTGAATGGTCAGATATTGCTTCTAATTTTGATATAGTTTGAGTTGTTCTTGAATTTCCCTTTTCCTGGAGGATATTTTTTGTGGTTTGGTCAAAATTAGTCAATAACGTTTACTACTTGAGGTTCATAATGATATTTCAGGACAATGCAGATCCAACCATACGAAACCTTGGAGAGTTCTCCCCCTTGGATCTTGCTGCCCAATATGGCCGCCTTGATGTTGTCAAACAGTTGATCACAACTCACCCGACACTTGTGAACAACTTGATATTGAACCACTCTCCCTTACATCTAGCGTCGAGGAGTGGACATCGTGCCATCGTCCAGTATCTGCTGGATTCTGGTTTCAGTGTCAACCTGAAGGTACGACTGACTGAGTATGGTTTTACGCCGTTTTTAGCAATATTCCAGCAATATCACGGCGGGGGACACCAGAAATGGGCTTCACAAATTGTACCCATGTGGGGAATCGAACCCGGGGCTTTAGCGTGACAAGCGAACGCTTTACCACTAGTACCCACCCCCCTGAAGGAAGGACCACATACATCTGCTGCTGTGCTTTCTGTCAGGAAATATGACATCGTTAGAAATGAATGCTGGCCTGATGGGTATATTTACTGTGGGCTAGTTAACAGTTACAACTGTCGAAACCTAATTTAACTTCATGACAGTAATACATTATCATGAGATGCAGATAAACGTGCCCACATAATGTGAAGCATTCAGACATCATAAGAAAACATGACCATGTTCAGAGTCATTTTATTCAAATATAAGTTATTTTCTGCCCACACAATGTTCTTTTTTAAATAATTCTGAAAACTAAATGTTCTTTCAAGCATTCAGTACCAACTTGTGATTGTTCCTGTAATAATTAAATTACGTTTGCATGTTCCAGATGTTGAATGACTCATTGTGGATATGAAATGCTGACAGCATGATTTCGGATGATGTGTGCATGTGTTTCCTGCAGTGTGTAGGGGAGCTGGAGTGTCAGTTGGATGCAACTGGCTTGTACACGTGTCATAACTCAACTAAATAGGACGTATTGAATAACAAAATGATGCACTGTGTTTATCGTGTCTAATCATGAGTACACAAGCATGTCTGGTAGCTGTAGTTGTCACATGTGAAGATCCGGGTTAGAACTGATCTTCAGTAACCCATGCTTGTCGTAAGAGGCGACAAACGGGACCAGGTGGTCAGGCTCGCTAACTTAGTTGACACATGTCATCGGATCCCAATGTGTGTGGATCGATATTCATGCTGTTGATCACGGGATTGTCTGGTCCAGACTCGATATAGCTGGCATATAGCTGGAATATTGCTGAGTGCAGCGTTAAACAACAAACAAACCAACCTGTCCCCCACTTGTCCTCTCTCCCTCACTCCAACCCCCTGATGATGCTTATTGCTTTACCTGTGTTGTCACGCTAACAACTAACTGTGTGTGTCTGTGTGTTTACTAACAATGTGTTGTCTTTCAGACTGATGCAGGCACGCCATTGCATGAAGCTGCTACTTACTGTAAAACTGATGTCATCAAACTCCTGTTAGATCGAGGTAAGATGAGCAACATTACTGTAAAATACATCTTGTCACCATAACACCCAACAGTGATAATTGACTAACACTTTGCCTCTTTATTATATAATTTGATAGAAAAAAACCCATGGAATCCTGAATTGTTGTAAATCTAGACTTGCTTCATTTAGAACTTTGGCATTATACCAGGGTCTTTGTAAAAGGTAAAATAACATGGTTCAGGGACTGTGACAGACAGAGACTGAGGTCTGCAGTACTAAATTGTTATCAGGTGGACAAAGGGAGATAACTCCTTAAGACATGTCCTGCCAAGTTTCGTTATCAAACACATTATCACATCATGTGCAGAAAGTTGGTTTGTAGTTAAAATGCCATCTTAATATGCTTGATTTGTTTTAGAAAGTCTTGATCAGAAATTATATAGGGAGCCACTAGTATCTGTAGTAGCGTTAGGGATGTAGTTGGTGTAGTGACAAGAGCCACAGAGCCACTGGGGTGTGAGGCGATGGACATTTATTACAAGAATGTAATAAACAAAAGCTTTAGCCAGGTTGGTATGACCTGAGCTTCTGTATTCATAAGGGACACATCTACGTCATGCCCACATCATCTGCTTATATACATGAAACACAGTCCAGATCACCATGATCTCGATCCTCAAGAATATATCAAGACCACAACATGTGCGATGATAACCACATCAGAGACTGACCAAGATACAAGATGAAATTATCCTTTAAATACCTAATACCTTATACGCTTAGCTGAACAGAGAACAATAGAACATACACACCAGCCTGAGCAAGGGACATGCTTTAGACGGGATTGCAGGGAGAAAAGCATGCAGTGCAAATGAGTGTTGCTGAAATAGATTACTTTTAAGATTAGATTGATGTTTAGAAGGGCTAAGGGTGTGATATAAATTGTTGAATATAAAATTATTGATAAAATGATTAGACTTAGGTTATTTAATGAGATTGTATATCTCATCAAAATATGACACTCAACTTTAAGAGATTCACATGTTTATTATATTTACAACTATATACAATACAAAGTTGAATCTGCCACATACTTCCCCCTCCACACAAATGACGTCCCTCGTCATTTACTTGGGTTAAGAAGGTTCACAACATACTGTGACATAGCACCACCAAATTGCTCGAACACACCTGCTGAGGCCAAGCTGCTCTACAAGGTCGGATCTATCGTCCCAGTCGTTGATTGTCGACTGCTCATGACATAATCCCCCAGGTGCTGCCATTCCGGTGGTCTCCTCTCACGACGTGAAGTCCTTGGTGGTGGTTCAGTTGTAGGGTTTTCTTTGCGGTTCATTCATTCCTTTGGTTATTTCGTTCAGGTAATTAAGGGTTGTATTTCATTGTTCGCTTCTCATATCTTCATTTCGTATTGCTTGGTGTTATTCTCTCTTTATGTAGGGTATCATATTTATAAGCCCCTGCGCATATACACCTGCACTTTACTCACCTGCATTAGTTTATGATCTAAACACAAATTAAAGGTAACTCTAAACATGTAATTTATTTAAACATTTAACTTATATTCGTTAACTCCTATACCATTTACGTAATTCAATGTAAACATTCATTAAATCCTACATCTAAAGTATTCTCGTGTGCTTCACTGCGTGCTTTGAAATCTGCATAGTTACAAATTCTTCACGGATTTCCAGTCATCAAGTGTCGCATGGTGTGTATTTCTTCGCGGATTTCGTGTGTTGTCTTCTCATCAAGTTTTCTACGCCGTGTATTACTTAGTTTTGTGTCATTTGTGTATTCATATTTATTTGCCAACATGGCTGAAGCGGGAATGTCAGAAGAGGAAGTGAAACAACTTGTTTCGTCACTGAAGAAGTTGGATTTGAGACCCAAAGCCGATACACCTCAGGATCTCTTAGCGTGGATCTCATCAGTTAGCTAGTCGACTCAGGAACATAAACCCTCCACTCCACCCACAGTTACGCTAGCTAAGACACCACAGCTTCCATACTTCCATACTTCTCGGGAGACAGGACAGGGGACGTCAACTTCGACCAGTGGAAACATGAATACACATGTCTTTGTCTTTGTTCCCGTCCTGGGAACCAAAGATGTAGTAGCGTTAGGATGTAGTTGGTGTAGTGACAGAACCACAAAGAGAACCTACATACTAAAACACTATACTATGAACACAACTAACTAAAACAAACTAAACCTACAGGTTTATTAAGATATGGAACTAAAGTAAACTAAACTAAACTAATTACCGATTATTAAAGTAAATAGTTGATATTACTAACTACCTAACACTTTAACTAATCACATAAAGTCAAATTAAGATTGTGAATCACAAACACATTCGCTTAGGATAAAGTTGTTTAACAAGCGATCATAGTTTCAAATCGCTATTATTATTTAGGTTGCACATTATAGAGCAGATGTGTAACTGATACTAATAATTAATTGATGCAACTAAATAAAGTAACTAATCTTAACTAATGCTTAACTGAAGACAACACAATAACATTCACAGTAGAATATAAACACTTAAATTACATAATATACTAGCTCCGGAGCAATAAACTAAAGGGGTACCCACAAGTTAATTAAATTAAGGCATCATCATAAACAAATGCAGAAATAATATTCAATACATGGATAGCATGAAATCACATTAACTGCAGTTGGCCGAACTTCACAGGTAGGTCAAGGTCACACAAGTGTCCATATGTAGAGGTCAAACACCATGATACAGAAATTGACAAGTTTTTAGTCGAAAGTTTTTAGTTGAAAGTTTTGCTTCTTGAAGGTTGAGCTGTTTCAGATGATATCATGAAATATATTGTGAGTCAGTAAACGGTCAAAATATTTTCTTCTCTAAAGGCTTATATGAATCTGTATTGAATGATATAGCAGGGAATTACATGTAGTCCTGTATTTGAGGGTCCCTGGGACTCATACTTCTGATTTTCAGGGGTCCTGGACAACAAAATGGCGGTCCCAGACACTTAAATATTATTATTAATACAGTTATTGTATTGAGTATCATGATCATCACATTGTTACAGTAATTAAATTGCAAATAATACCATAACCCAGCTAGAAGCAAACACAGTGATAACTTGTCACTTTATTGGAATTTTTACAAAAAGTATTTAGACTTTTTCTGAGTCCCTGTGGATGCGCCAATACATTTGGTTGCGTCCATTGTCAAGTTTTATGAGTATAGGACGCAGGAATTCGTGTCCTGTAATTCCCTGATATAGGCAGATATACTTGTAGGAATTGAGCATGCAATGTGTGTGAGACTCATGGCATGATAGTGCTAATCAAAATGTATGTATTCAGTAGCAGCTCCTTGTGTAAGACCTTGTATTGTCAATGTATTGCAGTATTTAGTTGTAACAATATGTACATATTGCAATATTTCTCAATTTTAAATTAGAAATTTACATATGATTGGCTTTCCCGATGATATGACTGAGAAACAAGTTTGAACACTTAACACTATGAATACATTTTAGTGAATAAATGGCAGCAGGAGTCTATTTCTTTTCAATATTTGCTTCCACTTCCATGATCTTCAACCATAGCAGCTCCACTGCAGCTCACACCCGGATGTTTGATAATATTTTACATGTTATCTGTTTGGACCCGTGAGGATCTGGGTAAGAATTGATCTTCAGTAACCCATGCTCGTCGTAAGAGGCGACTAATGGGATCGGGTGGTCAGGCTCGCTGACTGGGTTGACACATGTCATTGTATCCCAATTGCGTAGATCGATGTTCATGCTGTTGATCACTGGATTGTCTGGTCCACACTTGATTACTTACAGACCGCCGCCATATAGCTGGAATATTGCTGAAAATCTTAAAACTAAACTGATTCACTTACTGTTATCTGTTAGTGTTCTGTGCTGTCAACTTTGACCTTCAAGAAAGTTCACACTCAACTTGATGATGTGTGTGTTACAGGTGTCATGGTGGACGAGGAAGATGCACGGGGACTCACACCTGCTGACATCCTCAAATCACTGCCGTCACAGAAGGCGCTTGAGGCCATGAAGCTCATCAGTGGTGAGTTTCAGTGTTGATCATAGGGAGTACATGATTTTGTGAGCTAAGATGTCAATAATGTCATTAGCCTATTTGGTTCTTTACACCCCTCTGACTGACAGACCGCCTCCGTGGTGTAGTGGTTAGAGCGACCGCCCGGAGAGCGGAAGGTCGCAGGTTCGATCCCTGACCACGTCATACCAAAAGATGTTAAAATATGTTACTTGTTGGTCCCTGCCTGGCTTTTGGTATTAATGGGTACAACAAGGACTGGTCGGCTCGGAGTCAGTATAATGTGTCTGAGTGGGGTATTCATGCTTCACTGCGGCATGGTATCTCAGTGGGCTAGCACTATAAAACCAGCTTAAGTCTGGGCTAGTACAAGCAGCCGCACATACACATACACACGCATGCACGTCGTCATATGAGCGAAATATTCTCAAGCACGACGTTAAACCCAATTTCACCTCACCTCACCTCTGACTGACAGGGGCAGTAGGGTAGCCTAATGGTTAAAGCGTTCGCTCATCACGCTGAAGACCTGTGTTCGAGTCCCCACAGGGGTACAATGTGTGAAGCCCATTTCTGGTGTCCCCCACCGTGATATTGCTGGAATATTGCTAAAAGCTGCGTTAAACCATACTCACTCACTCTGACTGACATAGGGGCGGTGGGGTAGCCTTGTGGTAAAGCACTCTCGATTGTCACTCTGAAGCCTCGAGTTTGATTCCCCACATGGGTACAATGTGTGAAGCCCATTTCTGGTGTTCCCCGCCTGCTAAAAGCGGCGTAAAAATAAACTCACTCACTCACTCTGACTGACATATATAACTAATGCATCGTTAAGAGTTGCATCTTAAAGAGTTTGTAAACAAACTATTTTCAATTTGTAAGATTCATCTTTTGACCACCATTAGACATTTTAAAAGAAAACAATGAATTAAAGATTGAATTTATGGCAAATATTGTGTATGAGAAAGTAGACTCCATTCACCTGTGATTCCAGGTTTGGGGTGCATTTAACTTCTCATCTTGATGAGTCATTTGCCAGTGTTAAGTCCCTTGATGCACTGTTTTCATGGTAGACTGGAGGCAGGAATTGCGTCCCTTAGCAGTGTATGAAATAAGGCCTGTCCGACCACCTGAGACAGGCTAGATTTCTGACGGACGGTCTAATTTTACAGCAAGCCAGCCCGATGTTCTGGTATAATTTTTAGATAACATGTTCCATACATCCTTGTAAATTCACCATATCTTAAAATCTATTCTCTGAAAATGACTGTTGTGAATAGACTGTGAGACAGTCTCAGGTTCATTAAATTATTCATTGTAACTAAAAATTGAGCTATTTTCTTTGAATTGTCTGGTCTGGTTAAATCCAGTTTAGGCTGGTAACATTTTCAAGTTACTATTCCTGATGACTGGCTGAAATTTTGGCTTATTTCATACACTGCCCTTAGGCATGCCAGGAATCTATGATAGTGTGATTGAATCCCAGTTTTCTGAATACTGTGGCCAGGTTTGTCTGCACCATACCCATACTCTGGGTTTCACCGAAGTGGCAGACGTCTGAAAACTGCTTCACTTTGGGCTTCCTCCTACATCAAGCTGACATGCTGTGACGTAACTAAAGTACCGTTCAAAAGAGTATTAAACTAAACTGACTACCTTAACTTACTGATGGATCATTCATATCTTGACCAGGGCTCCAGATAAGGGCCGTATGGGCGTATGTACGCATAAAAAATATGCACGATATGGTAGGATTTAATTTAGAAACAGTAGCAGATACGCAGCACAGCAATGGTGTACGGTCTTAGAATCATTTACAGGCGTATTTATCTGAAAAAGTATTGTTTTATTGTTTTACCTGTTTACAAAGAGTAGCAATGCTGTGGTGCATATATGAAACGAAAGACAAGATCACATACTCCATTAAATTCCATTCAGTACTCCAAATGTACTCTTAAGTTTTCCAGTACTCCTATATTTAACAAATGCAGATGCGTACTCCTCATGTTGAAAAATTATCTGGAGCCCTGCTTGACAGAGTTATGTCCCCTTGATGAATCCATGATGGCAACTCTTGTACACACAGATCACATCAAATCCAGGACAGTGACCCTATTGCAAAGATGTATGCGAAGATGTCGTCAGTGACAATAGAGAAGAAGGCAGCAGCAAAGCGGCAGGAAAGGTGAGCACCTGGCCTTCTGAGACCACTTGTCTTTATTTGCTTGTTGTTTTGCGCTGCTCTTGGCAATTTCCTTGCTACACAGTGTTCACGAATGGTGTTTCAAAGTAACAGGACATTGGGTCCTGTAAGTTTAAGATGTCTGTCTGACCCATTGAAAATTCACAGGACCCATAGAATAAAATTAAACACACATTTCAGATTCAACATTTCTTATAATTGGCATTGAAACTATTAACAAACATAAGAAAAATAAGTACACATACACACATGCTGCGTGCGTCATATGGCCGAAATATTCTCAAGCTTGACGTTAAACCCAATTTCACCTCACCTCACCTCTGACTGACAGGGGCAGTAGGGTAGCCTAATGGTTAAAGCGTTAAGCTCATCACGCTGAAGACCTGTGTTCGAGAGTCCCCACAAGAGGGTACAATGTGTGAAGCCCATTTCTGGTGTCCCCCACCGTGATATTGCTGGAATATTGCTAAAAGCTGCGTTAAACCATACTCACTCACTCTGACTGACATAGGGGCGGTGGGGTAGCCTTGTGGTAAAGCACTCTATTGTCACGCTGAAGCCTCGAGTTTGATTCCCCACATGGGTACAATGTGTGAAGCCCATTTCTGGTGTTCCCCGCCTGCTAAAAGCGGCGTAAAAATAAACTCACTCACTCACTCTGACTGACATATATAACTAATGCATCGTTAAGAGTTGCATCTTAAAGAGTTTGTAAACAAACTATTTTCAATTTGTAAGATTCATCTTTTGACCACCATTAGACATTTTAAAAGAAAACAATGAATTAAAGATTGAATTTATGGCAAATATTGTGTATGAGAAAGTAGACTCCATTCACCTGTGATTCCAGGTTTGGGGTGCATTTAACTTCTCATCTTGATGAGTCATTTGCCAGTGTTAAGTCCCTTGATGCACTGTTTTCATGGTAGACTGGAGGCAGGAATTGCGTCCCTTAGCAGTGTATGAAATAAGGCCTGTCCGACCACCTGAGACAGGCTAGATTTCTGACGGACGGTCTAATTTTACAGCAAGCCAGCCCGATGTTCTGGTATAATTTTTAGATAACATGTTCCATACATCCTTGTAAATTCACCATATCTTAAAATCTATTCTCTGAAAATGACTGTTGTGAATAGACTGTGAGACAGTCTCAGGTTCATTAAATTATTCATTGTAACTAAAAATTGAGCTATTTTCTTTGAATTGTCTGGTCTGGTTAAATCCAGTTTAGGCTGGTAACATTTTCAAGTTACTATTCCTGATGACTGGCTGAAATTTTGGCTTATTTCGCATACACTGCCCTTAGGCATGCCAGAATCTATGATGAATGTGATTGAATCCCAGTTTGCTGAATACTGTGGCCAGGTTTGTCTGCACCATACCCATACTCTGGGTTTCACCGAAGTGGCAGACGTCTGAAAACTGCTTCACTTTGGGCTTCCTCCTACATCAAGCTGACATGCTGTGACGTAACTAAAGTACCGTTCAAAAGAGTATTAAACTAAACTGACTACCTTAACTTACTGATGGATCATTCATATCTTGACCAGGGCTCCAGATAAGGGCCGTATGGGCGTATGTACGCATAAAAAATATGCACAATATGGTAGGATTTAATTTAGAAACAGTAGCAGATACGCAGCACAGCAATGGTGTACGGTCTTAGAATCATTTACAGACGTATTTATCTGAAAAAAGTATTATTTTTCCTTATCCTGACTCATGCTCTTTTGCTTGTCTTCTTCTTCTTGCGAACATAGTGGAAACACTTGTATCTCCTTAATTGAAGCTCCCTTCAATGTAAAATCACTAATTAGTACTCACCACGAGTTGCTCCCCTTTAATCCCTTTTGGCGGGAAAGGTGTCGCCACCTTACACCTCGTGCTTCACTCTCTCCTTCTTCGCCCAGTGAGCAGGATGCGAGAGCGCCTGTGTCTCCTTACACAACATATCCTTTGATTTTTCTTAGTTTATTACCTCTTATAGTGTACTATAGAGGTATAGCTAGTATCCTTCAGTAATTTGTATTGATTATTTATCGTATTTCTAATGTTTATTCACGTGTATTCGTGATTGTTCAGCTAGTATTACGTTGATGAAAATCTGTACTATTTGTAGATTACGTTTTTCTGCCTCAGATCCGCATGTAATATGCCCTAGTTGTTCTACGCCGTGTGCGTTTGATTCACGTTGCAGTTATTGCATTAATTTATCTAATTCTGCATTTAATAAATACTGTCTTTGCGTCTTAAGACGTGCTGCAGATAGGTCACGCAAACAAGGGCTAAATATGGCTGATACTCCAGATACTCCATCTAGTCAGCTGCTGGCGATCGACCCCCTACCGTCTGGTGTTCTGCTAGAGACCCCATCGAAAGAGGGACGTGGGACGCAGTCCGTCACCTCTAAGGAGCGACCGGCCTCCCCAGACATCCCGTCATCGCAGCTAAAGTCCAAGAGGGCCTCGACGTCTTCTCAACGCAGACTTCGTACCCCCAGGGCAGCGTCGACATCCAAAGGAAAGTCTATGAAGACAGCGAGAACTTTCTCAGCCGAGATCGTTCCAGCCGAAGAAAGGGGCCTCTACGATGACCAGCCGATTATCATCCCCGACATACGGCACAAGAAGCGGCCGGTGTCAGCGACAGTGACTAGATGTACAGCTTTCGCGAAGGCCTTCGCGAAGGCGGGATAGATCATCACCCTCGTCACCTTCATCCCAAGATGTGGACTCGGACCATCAGACATCACGAAAGCCTTCGCGAAGGTCTTATCGTAATTCCCCCGGACCGGACGCAGAGGAAGCTTCGCGAAGGCATTCGCGAAGGCCAGCTGAATCCAGATCTTCATCATCTAGAAGGACATCGAGGGACTACACAAGAGCTTCGCGAAGCTATCAACGTTCTCCTCACAGGTCACCGAGAAGATCAACCCATAGACGTAGATCACCTAGACGATCTCCTCCTCGTTCATCACCGCGTAGATCACCTTACAGATCACCATACAGAGCTGCACAAGCATCGCCGGACGTAGAGACAGAAGCACGCAGTCCAGAACAGCACCAACCTCTCATCAATGATGATGGTATAGAGGATGATGGAGGAGTTATTTTCTCCGATGCTGAGATACGGTATTGGATGGTCAATAACCTAGATCTCTCATCACCATCTAAAAATGGCAATGTGGCGCAGACATATCTGATGAAAGAAGACGATGCAGATGCTATCACACTACCACCGATCGACCCGATTGCAGCAGTTCCACAGAATCTAGATGCAGCATTCCACAAAGCCACGAAAGTTCAGACACCACATCTACCAAACTTTCATGCCAAGAAGTTCTCCACGCATAACATGGACCCCCCCTTCTTCAAAGCTCAAGACATCGATGAGAACTATAAGTTGATCAACGATGTCAAGTACAAGAATTACAAGATTGATGATCGCAGTTAGTCCAGATAGAAACCATGACGAGACGTGCGATATGTTTTTGGTTTAAATAGATCTAGAACGATCAATGAGACTCTTATCACCAGATTTCGTGATATCGACTTCTGAGGATGATAGAATGATTTATTCTGCCTTTACTTATGCAAAGAAAGACCAGCAGTTCCTAACAGATCATCTTACATCTATTTCAGCAGCACTGACCTTAGCTCGTCGTCAAGGCCTCCTCGCTTCCTGCAACTGGGGTGAGAACTTTACAGCCCCACTGTATACAGCCACGTGGTCTTCAACATCCATCTTTAATGGAGAAATAGACAAAGTTTCCAAGAAAGTCACTAAGGATTCCAGAGAAGTCCTGATGATTAAATCGATGGACACACTAGCCAGCGTCATCCGACAGACCTCTCAAAGATACTCAGGAAGATCTAAATTCACGGGCCTACAGAGAGCACGAGACAGGAAGATAGCCAGCTCTAGAGGAAAAGATTCTTTTAGAGTAAGCCCATTCGGCAACTATAGAGGAGGATCAGGAAGAGGCAGGACACCCAGAGGTTCCACTTAACTATAAACGCTGAAAGACAGGTTCGGAACGACTGGAGTCTTCCACCCCCAGCCGTTCCAGTACAACCATCTCAAGTGGGTGGACGCCTCCAACTCTTCTGGGAAAACTGGGGAATGTTACAAGACCCTTATGTCTCCAACATTCTTCGTCACGGATTTCGTATCCCACTAAAGGCCAAGCCTCCGCTGACAGTCAACCCTCACAAGTTCGACTTACAGGCACAACAACTACCGAAGTTAAGAGAGGCTGTTACATCACTCTTAATAAAGCAGGCCATAGAAGTACTAGACCAAGACAACATAGAACCAGGTTTCTACTCCCCAGTTTTCCTAGTTCCCAAGAAAAACTCCAAGGAGAAATACAGACTCATCTACAACATGAGTTTTTTCAACAAGAACTATCTACGCAATCCTCCGAAGTTCCGCATGATACATTTACCTCTCAGTTACGGCAGTTGATTAAGCCCCATGGACTACATGGGCAGTATCGATCTACAGGGCGCTTACCTGCACATCCCGATACACTCCAAAGCCAGGAAATACCTACGGTTTACTTTAGACGGGCAACATTACCAGTGGAAAGTGCTCCCATTCGAATATCATCAGCCCCTGGCTTTTCACGAGGATAACGAAAACCGATTATCACCTATCTTCATCATCATCAAGGGCTACGCGAGTGCTTTTACCTCGACGATGGGATACAAGTAGATCAAGATCCACAGCATCTCAAACTACAGTTAAACTACATCATAAAGCTACTAACACAGCTAGGATGGTTAGCAAACTTACTCAAGTCGGACCTAGTACCGTCCACAAGACCTACAGTTCCTAGGCATTCGATTTATCACAAATCTCAACCGTATCGTCAGACCAGAAGACCGTTGGATCAAGATCCAACAGACCATTCCACCAGCTCTACTCTCTCCGTTACCACTTCGACAATGGCAGAGCCTCCTAGGTCTCCTCACATCAGCCCAAGACATGACAGTCAGAGGCAGGTTACAGTTACGTCCCTTACAGGTCTTCATCAATGCACATCTCGACGATTTACAGCCATTCAGTCTACCGAAACATCTCAGACCTCATCTACTATGGTGGACAAAGAAATCGAATGTCTGCGAAGGGATTTGTTTAGCAGTGCAGGAATTCAAAACCCATCTATATGTGGACGCGTCACTTCAAGGTTGGGGAGCTCATCTCGCCAACCAGACGACATCGGGATTATGGAACCAACAAGAAAGCAAATCCATATAAACATCCTAGAGATGAAAGCTGTAATCAACGCCATTCTACATTGGAGCACATTTCTACAAAATGCGCCTTATGATTCATACCGACAATTCCACAGTGGCGTGCTCTACGTGAAACAAGCAAGGCTCAACGAGATCACTGAACCTTTTGAACTTAAGCTTTCAACTATTCGATCTAACCCACGATCTAAATCTACAGATCAGAGCAGTTCACATTCCCGGAGCCAAAAATGTACTAGCAGACGCGCTCTCTCGGCCTCATCTACCATCCCCGACAGAGTGGATGCTCAATACGGAAATATTTGCACAGATAATCAAGCCGTTAGCAGCGCCGCTAATAGATCTATTCGCCACAAGATTCAACAATCAGCTACCGACATTCGTGTCACCAATCCCAGATCCACAAGCTTGGGAAACGGACGCTCTAAGTATATCATGGGAAGGCCTCAACGCGTACGCGTTTCCGCCGCCAGCAATAATACCTCAAGTATTACAGAAAATCAACCAAACACAGAGTCTACAACTCACTTTGGTCGCGCCCTACTTGCCAGCCAGAGTATGGTTTCCCAGTCTAATTCAAGAAATCGGTCAACCAGTATTAGAGCTACCCAAGCGCTCAAACCTGTTAATACATCCACACACAAAACAAGTGCACGGAAACCCAGAAGTTTACCAACTTCACGTATGGACTGTATACAAATGTGTTTAAACAAGAGAGGATATTCTGCCAGGGCGGCAAAAGCGGTCACGCGCCTTCGACACTTTCGACTTCGTGGCAATGCGGCGACAAGTGGCACAGTTTCGAAAATTATGCAGCTAATAAAGGATTTACAGCGAGAGATGCTTCACATCCTCAAGTGGCAGACTATTTGTGTTACCTGCGGCAAAACAAACATTTAAGAGGTTCGACGATATCAACATATCTTGCCGCGCTTAGCTCTGTGATCACTATGAGAACGGTTGTCAAGCTGACAAAATCTCCAGAGAGTTACTGGCCTTACTAACGTGCTTTCCGATTGGAGGACCAAAAGCGGAAGTTCCACGCCCCAGCTTGGGATCTGAATATAGTGTTACAACACCTCACAAGTGAGGCCTATGAACCTTTGGAATCGACAAACTTTGAATTTCTCTCACAGAAAACGCTATTTCTGCTATCTCTAGCCACGGCAGCAAGAATATCTGAAATTCACGCTCTGGATTACGAAAGGATACAGTTTGATGACAATCAAAACATAGCGCACCTGGGATTAAGATGGGATTTCATCGCAAAAAATCAACTACCAGGTCAACCAGACAGGTTATTCCATGTATCAGCGCTATCCTCGATTCTGGGATCACAAGATACACAAGACTTATCACTGTGTCCAGTCAGAGCTCTCAAAGTTTACTTACGACGATCCAAAACAAGGCGAAGATTTCTCAAAAGATTATTCATCCCCTTATCGCCAACAATTCAAACAGAAGTCTCGCGTACTACCATATCTATTTGGATAAGGACTGTCATACTTCGCGCCTACAAGGCAGCAGGCTTGGACCCACCAACAGCATCAAATCCGCATGAGATTAGGGCACTGGCTTCCACCCTCGCCCTGCACGGTAACTGTTCATTGAAAACAATTATGGAAGGATGCTTTTGGAAATCGAACATGGTGTTTGCGAATCACTACCTGAGAGACATCACCACAGAAGATGTCTCTGGCATTCACCATTTCGGCCCTTTGGTCCTCGCTCAACAGCTGACAGTCCCTCGTAGGCGTTAAAATATTACAATCACAAGTTTAATATGTATTATATACATAATTTAGCTAGCTTATAACTCTAAGGAGTTCTAGAGCTATGTATATATATTTAACTTAGGTTATTCACCCCTAAGTACATATGGACATTATCTTGTACAGCGACTCTATCAGAGTCACTTATATATATATATAATATATGTAATGGTTTTTTCAATATATATCAATGTAATACCCAATTATGGCATTATATAACCTATGGTTTATATACAGGAAATATCCTAAGTCAATGCCTTCATGAAGTTCCCATACCAGTTATTACAGTTATATTTATACAAAATCACTAATTATAAATCCAAAGTATTCTATTACTCCCTCCTCCGTTCCGTAGGATTCTACAAGCAAAAGAGCATGAGTCAGGATAAGGAAAAATATGTAATTTTTAGAGTAAAATTGATATTTTGTACTTATCCTGACTCATGAGGTCAGCCCTCCCATCCTCCCCACATAACACTTTGGATTTCCCCGTAAATTCAAGTGTTGGGCTCGCAAAATCAGGAGAGAGTGAAGCACGAGGTGTAAGGTGGCGACACCTTTCCCGCCAAAAGGGATTAAAGGGGAGCAACTCGTGGTGAGTACTAATTAGTGATTTTACATTGAAGGGAGCTTCAATTAAGGAGATACAAGTGTTTCCACTATGTTCGCAAGAAGAAGAAGACAAGCAAAAGAGCATGAGTCAGGATAAGTATAAAATATCAATTTTACTCTAAAAATTACATGTTTTATTGTTTTTTACCTGTTTACAAAAGAGTAGCAATGCTGTGGTGCATATATGAAACGAAAGACAAGATCACATACTCCATTAAATTCCATTCAGTACTCCAAATGTACTCTTAAGTTTTTCCAGTACTCCTATATTTAACAAATACGGAGTACGTACTCCTCATGTTGAAAAATTATCTGGAGCACTGCTTGACAGAGTTATGTCCCCTTGATGAATTCATGAGAGCAACTCTTGTACACACAGATCACATCAAAGGCCTGACCAAGGTGGTCATGCAGGACAGGACGCCATCAGAAGATGAGTACGACTTCAGCCCCGAGGACGTTCCTATCCGGGTGCCAGACGCCGAACCATCCCCCCCAATCCAGGACAGTGACCCTATTGCAAAGATGTATGCGAAGGCCGTCAGTGACAATAGAGAGAAGGCAGCAGCAAAGCGACAGGAAAGGTGAGCACCTGGCCTTCTGAGGCCACTTGTCTTTATTTGCTTGTTGTTTACGCCGCACTTGGCAATTTCCTTGCTACATGTTGGCATCCTGTACATAATTGAGTCTAGACCAGACAACCCAGTGATTGACAACATATGCATTGGTCTATGCAATAGAGATCACTTGAACCAACCCAGCGTGACCACCCAATCCCCTTAATAGCCTTTTACGAATACCATGGCTTGTTGAAGACAAATTCTTACCGGGATTTTCACAGATGTCTTTGTAACTCACCTGAAGACCTGATACCTGGATGCCTATATGTATTGAGCTGTCAAGAGTATTTGAGCTATCAAATTGCCCATCTAGGGTAATGGGTGATTTTCAGCAGCACAGAGCTGCTGATATGGTTCATTCAGACAAAGGATGTATCATCCACTACTGCCAAAAGAGAAATCTTCACACATCTCTAATAGTACACCTGTTCACCATTTTCTGCTTCTTATTAACATTTTCAGACCATTAACCAGTTTACCCTTTTTTAACTGTATCCATATATTTTCTACTGCTTCAGCCCTGTGAGCCCCGATGTATCCCCGCCTCCCATCCCACCCCGAGCGCCCTCTATCCGCTGTTCCCGGAACCCTCTGGAGGCAGCAAGGCGGTCACCTCCCATTACTAGTTGCCCGGCAACAGGCAGCGCCATGACAACATCTTCAGCTGCAGAAGCTGTTGCTAAGGTACTGAGGACTCTGGCGTAGTCTGGGTTTTTAATGGAAAGTTGAATGCTTTTGTCATTATGACAGAACTGTTTTCTCATATTCATTTCGACCAAATCTCAAGGCTTTTTCTTTGCTTGCATATTTTCACTTGTAAATAAACACAAATAATTCCATACACTCTTCAATGTACTTTTGAGAAAACTCCAAACGAAATTTACAGATATTACATAGTCTCAGCTTGTGCAGATCTCATACCACATATAGTTTCTCCAAGACATCTCAGACCTGCATCATATCGGGATCTTCTCCGCTATTAAACTGATATATCTGGAATACTGCTAAAAGCTGCATTACACCTAACTGCTTTACCCCCGAAGGGCCCCACTCACTGTACACAGTCTTCCCTCTGAGGTGTTGTGTATGTTCTGTGCAGGAGCAGCCCAAGAAGCCACCCCGACGGCGCCCCACCCGACTCAGCCAGTCCAGTCAGCACATGGACTCTCAGGAAACCACTCAGGAGGCAGATGAACGCAGTGTGGATACAGATGACACCGTGTCAAGTCATCGCGAGGAGACGGATGGCAGCGAAGATTGTGGCGCTGTGAAGTCTGTGCCTCCTACCTCCACTGCACCTAAAGACCACACTAAACTTCCAAGTCCTGTGTATTGTAATATTCTGCCAAAATCCGAGTCTATGAAATCGGGAAGTAACTGTTTCTGAAGATCCACAGGGACAGAATGAGATAGAAAAACAGGGAGAGTCCGTAGAATGTTCACAAGTAACAGAAGCTCAACCCTCTCCCTCACCAGATGTGATTCAAAGTGATAAGGGAGATAACTCTGTTCAGCCAGAGAGTTCCTCAGAGATCACAAGTGACTCTGTTGATGTCTCAAATAACACAGATGTATTTAGTTCAGATGACTGGTCACGGAGTGAAGTGTCTGCCATCGAGAAAGAGAAGACTGATCATTCTGAGGACTTCTCCACAGCCACGTCTGACGATGGACTTTCTACTTCAAGTGTCTCTGTTATTGGTAGGTAGCCCAGTGACTCGACAGGCTTGATGGTGTAGTTGAAACATTTGATTTACAATTAATGGTTTTGGAAACAAGATAGACAAATTAAGCACTCTCCACATACATGCTCGGGCTTACATTTTTTTGTTTGAAATCATGGAAGAAACTATTTCAGTAACACAGATGTATTTTTTCATTCTTTACCAAACATCTATATCTTCTTAGAGTTAAATTGTTTGAAAAAGAAATTCAAGTCACCAATGGCATGTAATGGTTATTTCATTACTGTTAGATTAATGCAAAGTTAATTTTAGTTGTAATAAATAAACATGTTTATGTGTTATTGTGTGCAGATGACTGGAGATGTGTATCAGAATGCATCAACATATATCTTGGCTTTGTAAAATTTTATACAACTTTTCAGGCACTTAAACCTCTTTTACTCTTTTATTGCTCTGTACTGATCTGCAGGAAATCTGAAGTAAGGTAACACCAGATTAATGTATATTGAAATCTTCAGGCTAGAATTTCAGCAAATTGAACATTTTGCGGAATATTTCCAGATGAATGATGAAGACTGATCTGAGCATTTTAATATTTGTACAGGAGCTTTTGATGGAACTGATCGTGTTCAGAAACCAAGTTCACTCGAGTTTGAGAACAAAAGGTCAAGTCGTTCCAGTGTGGACGTCCCCCTGTCTCCCACCGGCTATGTTCAGCCCCCTACGCCGGACTACCCCCCACCCTCACCAAGCACCGCAGTGCAGGGCATTACCCAGAAGATAAACCCCCAGGTAGGTCTGACGGAGGACTGTGTGATGTCATAGCAGACCTTGGTCATTCAGTGTTACAAAGGTCATACTGCTTACTCACTCACTCACATTGTACTATATGTGTTGTGACAGGGTAATATATGATGTGAGGTATTCAGACAGTGGCAGACTAGCAGCATCCTGTTTTGGTAAATTGGGCTCAGTATGTCGGCTGGATGTTATAGGGTTGTATTGACCTGTTTAGTATTGTATAACAGTAAATGTGCTCATACAGGACATCTTGCCTCTGTCAATAGAGAGAGGGAATAGTCTTGCAACTGATATACATGATTGATACTTTATATAAGATAGACAAAAAGTAAATAAACAAAACTTTTATTGTAGGAAAAGAGAAAATCCAAAGACATGGAGACCCTCACAGAAGCTTCCATACTTGCCAGTCTCCAAAACAAGCCAGTTAAACCAGTTAAGCCAGTTAAGCCAGCAGTCAAGCCGCCGATCAAGCCGCCGATCAAACCGCCAGTGAAAGTTCCTGTAAAACTTCCAGCTGACAATAACAACATCCAGTCTGTTGACAGCAGCACCGGTGTAGAGGAGGAGGACCCAGACGCCATGCTGCCTCCACCCAAAGTGGAGCGCATCACCTCCAAGGTGCTGGAGACCGTCATAGAGCGAGCAGAAGAGCCCAGTCAGTCCGGGAGTAATGGAGAGATTACCACAAACACGCAGAAACTCACGGAACATGTACAGTTACGGCGAAGGATTAGTTCCGAGAGTACCAGTGATGCTGACACGGAAACAAGCATATTTGCAGGTAGGGCAAAATATTGTCCTTTTGCTTTGTTTGTATCTCTTTTAGTCTGAGGATTTTTCTTCCAGAGACCTTTGAAGTGTTCTAGTTGTATAATTACTATTACACACAGTGATGTTGGTACTAACGTTGGTAACTGCCAGACTTCAAAATATACTTACTCTAGTACTATAGTCGGCAGAGCTAAGATGACATTGTGGAACAGAGCCCAGGTTCATTTCATCTGTGAAGGTAGAATTCTGAAACGTAATGACTCTCTTTTTAAGGGCACCTAAGGGGAGATAAGTGTATTCCATGATACACCACATGGTGATAAGGATCTGAGATGTTAGATAGGTTGTATGATGAATCGTGGCATTATCTCCCCTTTGCCCATATGATAATTGTCAGAGTTACGAGCTATGGGAAAGTCAAGGCATGTACTTCCTTCATTCTGGCTCCCTGGAACATAATATTCTGTTCTTATCACTGAAGCGATTTGACCTCAGATGCAGTTTTCAAAAAATTATTAACTTCATAACTTCAGGTTAACGTAGAATTTATTTCTCTTTACATTTTTCTTATACATCATGTGCTTTTGGTGCTATTTTGTTTCAAGGATATATCACCTGTTAAATACCGTTTTCTTACCACCAGAAAAATGAGTTTGTACTTTCTACAGACTGCTTTTGGTCCTCAAAATTTGGCTTATTTATGGTCACATATGTAAGTTAACTTGGAGTTTGAAGTGTATAATTGCAGAAACAGTGAAAAAGTGATTGATTTTAGAGAATATTTTACCAGATTCCAATATTCCTGGTTAGGATTAATATGACTAACACGGCCAAGATGTTGAGGCAGTGCTTGTGTTATTTCGGACAACGTACAGTTACCCCTGCACATTCTCGTGATCATAATCTTTTTCTTTTCACAACAAACCTTCCTGAATATTTTTAAATATATCTTTTACAAGGTGTATTGGAAATGTAAAAAGACAAAACATGCCCCATCTTCCTTCTCCTTTAAGAAATGGTATTTTGTAGAGTTATCTCCCTTATATGTGTCCCTTCATCAACACTTTCTGACTTGTTTTTTCCCCAACCCGTCAAACAAAAATCAAAATTCAACCATACTACAGGAAGAAACAAGAACTTCAGTCAACATCTCAGTTCTATGGCCTTTAATATTCTGTAAACTTTTTAAAAATATACAGCGCCAGTAAGTGATTCTCCATTCTTAACGGTTCTGAAGCTACCACATTATAAAGGCATCTGTTTTCCTTCTGTGTTGTTGCTCAGGCCTGTCCAGAAGCTCTCCATGTAAGTGCCCCTCAATGCATGCCTTGATATTTCTTCATAGTCTTGTATTATTCTAGACAATCATTCACTTCCCATTAAGTGGTATCTATATATGAGCATCTCACATCTATAGTCTTCGTGTTGTGCTACTGTTATCTCACCATCATCCTGTACCTCATTGTCCAGTGGATATTGTACACAGTGCTGTCAGTGGGGTTTCGGGCAGTCCCAGGCATGCTGGCCATGTTAGGGAACTACAGTTGCTACAAGCTTTTCTTTGTACATCTAACACTTTAGTATTATGATACTTGATGGGGTACATTTCAGTAAATTGAAAGTATCAGGGGTACAAATCTGAAGTACCCTGAAAGACAGCAAAAGTCTGGTACTCTACAGAATATCCAAATGTAAAGTCAAATGGATTTTCAGCAGCTAAACGTGTTATATTTTTCTGCAAGGACACTAATATAGTGATTAGGTGAAGTCAGTTATGTCAGTTACTTAGTTACCTACATAAACATATATCATAACATGATACCAATGATTCATTTGTATCTGGAGAGTTTTACAATCTGTAGGTTTTAGTTCTTAATGAATATGATACTGCTTATCGTCAGTTGAGGATAAAATCTATTTGGCTTAATTAAGCTTGATTGCCTGATGCTAGAATATGAATGATGTGGAACTTTTGAATAGCTGGAAATATTTCCTGATGGTCATTTGCATTTTGAGAGGTGCAGTGGACAAGTAGTTGTAGAGTTCATTCATTGGACTGAAGACGTAGATTCTGCATTGTACAGTAATGTTTATTCTATTTACTCTTGCCACAAATGGGGAGATAGCTTAGCCTAATGGTTAAAGCATTAGTTCATCACGACGTGGCAGAAGGCTTGAGTTTAATTCCCCATGTGGGTACAATGTGTGAAGCCAATTTCTGGTGTCCACTGTCATGATTTTGCAGAAATATTGCTGAAAGCGGCGTAAAACCCAACTCACAGCTCACTTGGTTACAATGTTGCTGATTCAGAGTTTTCACACATTCGCTCGGGGCGGTGGGGTAGCCTAATGGTTAAAGCGTTCGCTCGTCATGCCGAAGACCCGGGTTCGATTCCCCACATGGGCACAATGTGTGAAGCCCATTTCTGGTGTACCCTGCCGTGATATTGCTGGAATATTGCTACAAGCGGCGTACAACCAAACTCACTCACTCACACATTCGCTCACCTCACTTACCCATCAGCAAACTCAGTTCCAAGTTCTCCAGGTCAGTCTGATGTTTCTGTCATTGTAAGGAGCTCTAGAAGGAAGGTTGGAGTAGCTTTGTATAATGGTTTCCTGAGTGGCCATCCAGGTGATTACATCAAGTGGGCAAATTGCTGATAGTAGTGGTTCTTTTGCTCTGTTCTGGAAGGAGGGGCTCGTGACCTCGCTGTCCCACACTGTGGTCTGTACAGAGTGTAGCGTCTGCCAGGAGAGCTGTTACGTCTGTGGTTCGATCCCCAGATGTGTCACACTGAAAACTGTTGTCTCTACAGGGTGTAGCGTCTGCCAGGAGAGCGTTATGTCTGTGGTTCGATCCCCAGATGTGTCACACTGAAAACTGTTGAAAGATCGTCCTTGTTGTTATCTTGCCTGACACGAGTGAGTGAGTGAGTTTGGTTTTACGCTGCTTTTAGCAATATTCCAGCAACATCATGCCACTGGACCCTGACATCAGGTATTAGGGGATAAGACATGGTCTTGTTGTGTATGCCAGAGTATGCTGTATCAGAGTGGGTATTTATGTTAAACTGTAGCATGGTACTGTAATATAAACCAGCTTTAGTCTCCCCAGACACACACAGACGCAATCACAACACAGGTACACACACACAGGCACACAGACACAAACACACACACACACACTCTATCAGCAGACAGACACAGATACAATCACACATCAGACATCAGGCAGACATGCACAGACACTATCACACAACAGAGAAAGAGGAGAGATAGACAGATGCACACTCACACAATCACACAACAGAGAGAGTGAGTGAGTGAATTGGGTTTTACGCCACTTTTAGCAATATTCCAGCGATATCATGGTGGGGGACACCAGAAATGGGCTTCACACAATGTGCCCATGTACAACAGAGAGAAGAGAGATAGACAGACACACACTCACACAATCACACAACAGGCAGAGAGACACACAGACATGCACATTTACAGCGCTATAATGTAAAATATTTTTGAACGTAAGTTTAACCACCTTTTGTAACAGGGAGTACTAATCTTGAACATCTTTTGGTGTGAGGCTGCCCAGACTGACATTTTCTCCACTAGACAATAGGGCCTTTTTTAGTTGGTCCATGAAGAAACCTGATGTTTGTGGTTGGATCTCCCTTACTGTCCTGATAAGACTCTCCCGCGGCTGTCAGGCCTGTACTGTAATCAGGAGTGTGTACTTTGTACCATTCATTCTTTGGTCACCCAGATCCAGTGTCTCCGACATGTACATCAGTATTGATCTATGCAGCCATCGTGTTTACTTGGTGATCAATTTATTGCTAAAGGAGCTCTTGGAGGATTTTGATAAACATTAAAAATTGAAGTGTTATTTTTTCCATTATTTGTCCAAAATCCAACTTTTTTGTTCATAATCATATGTAAATAGTTTACTTGTAGGAGCCGCCTTCTTCAATCAAGAAGGAAAAGGAAGGAAAAATATTTTCAGTCTGAAATATGCTCTTCAATAAAACCAGACAGTATAACACAGCCTAAAGGCAAACTGTGTATTTAAAACAAGATTAATGCAAATAGAAATCTTTTTGTCCACAGCAAAGAAGCATACGAGTTTGTTAGTCTGTCTCACAGTCCCTTAACTGAAGCATTTCCCTTCGACCAAGCTCTTTCTGCAATTTCAAAGCCGTAAATGAAGCAAGTCTACATTTCCTCTGAATCTCACCAGGCTCCTTTTCAATTTAAAATTATATAATTTCAGAGTCTGTGTTAGGCTAGTGTGTCGAATTTACAGGTAATGTTATGGCAGTTCACCTACTCAATTCAACACCGTATCACACTTCACAATAACAAAGGGTTTGAGTGGTAAGACGTTCAATGAGGCAGGATATTATTTAAAACAGCTGTGAGTGCCTTACATGTCACATGTGACCGACTTCTAGTGGTGTCACTGTAGGAAGTTTGTGTACGTTTCACGCTTGACTTGGTTTCAGTTCAGTTCAAGCTTACTGGGAAATAATAAAGGTGGATCTTAAAATAGCTGACATGGAGGATATACTTGCTGGATAAATACAGTGTCTCATCTGTGTGGGTCAGTGGTCATGTCTTGTAGTCTGGCTGACTGTCTGCTTGTACTGTCTGCCTCATGCCGTAGATGGTGTCATAAGGGACCCCACTGTATAATACTGTCTGTGTGGGTTAGTGGACATGTGCTGTAGTCTGGCTGACTGTCTGCTTGTACTGTCTGCCTGATACCGTAGACGGTGTCATAAGGGACCCACTGTATAATACTGTCTGTGTGGGTTAGTGGTCATATCTTGTAGTCTGGCTGACTGTCTGCTTGTACTGTCTGCCTGATACCGTAGACAGTGTCATAAGGGATCCCACTGTATAATACTGTCTGTGTGGGTTAGTGGACATGTGCTGTAGTCTGGCTGACTGTCTGCTTGTACTGTCTGCCTGATACCGTAGACGGTGTCATAAGGGACCCACTGTATA